TTGTTGCCTGTGGGTGTTTGTGGGGGAAAGAAAGCAACACCTTAGGATTAGATTTTTGGACTTATTAGTCCTGCTCAGAAATGTTATATAGCCTTTATTTCAGGTTGTAAACGTAAAATGGAGCTTTGGAGCCAGACTAGCATATCAAAAAAAATGCCCCTGTCACAAAAGCCAAGTTTGGCATCAATCTAAATGTTACATGGAATCCATTCAGCTGGGCAGGAGGCCCGCTTCGGTTCCTGCCAGGGTTCTTCTTGCTGCTTATGAATATCCGTTGCCCATGGTCAATGTTGTGTCCTTTTGAGGGTCAAAATTCGTTTTGAGAGCATGTTGGGTAGTGTCTTTTAGATTCGCGAAGATTTCTATTCTGTTAAGTTTATCTTGAGTGCAATGAGCTCAAGTCCTCAGCTTCTTAATATCCAGGTGGTGCCCGCATGCAAGACTGGGTGGTTTCTGGAGTCTTGCCCGAGTATGTAGCAGAGCCTAAGCTGCCACGTTGCGTTATTGGTTTGTACTTACTTGACAGTACGTGGTTGCTCCTGGATGGGCAATGATTGTCTCGAGAACCCCTGATGTCCTGACATTGCAGAGATGGTGTGTCCCACAGGTGATCAAGTTCACTGTCATCAGGAGCTGCTACTGACATATGGTTGGACACGTAGGCTGATGCGTAATTTTCACCTCTGACCATGTTGAGAACACTGTGGTTTCTCGGGAAAAGGAACAAACCGTGGAAGTGCAGACTGGATCTGATTCCAGGTGTCCCAACAAGAAATTGTGTTGCTAAGGTCAGATGATTAAATCTCTCTGTGCTTCAGTTCTCCCGAGAAGGCGTAACAGTAAAAGCTACGAGAAAGATGAGCTGTGGAATGACAGTCATAGCTCCGGCCATAAGCAGCTGTCAAGTAAGACCGCCTCAGAGGAAGTCATTGTGAGAATTCTTTTGTTTTGCTTTGTCACGTAGGTTGCTGACCCACCTTGCCACCGACACCCCAGGGTTTGCTTACAGTTGTGCACCGCTAGGTGCCTTTCCCACATAGGACAGTGACCACCTGCCTGGGAGCCCCATTTGCTAGGACAGAGTAAAGAGGTGACCCTTCTGTGGGTCCACTGTTTCGCTAATCTTAACCGTTTACTCTAACAAATTCCCCTGTTGAATAGGTACTGGTTTTTGGGAGCTGGTTATATAACAATGAATTATAAGCAAATAACTAGTACATATACATGTATCCCTAATGCAAAATCTGGTAGGTTTCAAATATCAAAACTTGGGGTACTTCCAATAGCAAATTCTACATCTGCCCTCATGTGCCAGGTCACAGCCATAATGCAGCTACAGTAAAATATCATACATCATTTACCACGGGCTCTGTGCATAAAGTGTATATAAAACGGAAGTGGATTTTCTATTTAGACCAGGGTCTCATTGCCAAGATATTTCATTATATATAAAATGTAGAAATACTCCAACGTGAGAAACATTTGAAATCCCAAACACTTGTGGTCCCAAGAATTTTCGGGTGGGAAGTTTTCAAACTAGACAGTGTTTTATTTTCTTTTGATTTTAAAGTTTTAATATATTTATCTGAAAGGCAGAAGAAGAGGGGACAGAAACAGAGAAAGTCACAGATAGACAATAGATTACTATTCATCTGCTGGTTCATTCCCCAAATGCCCGTAGCACCTATGGCTGGACCAGGTCCAAGGCCAAGAGCTGGGACTCGATGCAGGTCTCCCACATGGCTGGGAGAGATGCAGCTACCATCGCCTGTTGCCTCCTAAGGAGCGCATTAGCAGAAAGCTGGAATTGGGAGCAGAGCTGAGAGTGGGTCATGGGCACATCCCAAATGAACTGTTGTACTCTTACACCTTTATGGGATTTTTAATAGGGACTTAAGTAAGATGACCAAGTGCTCCATGTGCTGTCGTGAGTGTGTGAAGAATGATTGTAGATGGAGGAGGGTGGCCTTTTGAAGCTGAGAAGATAACGTGCTAAACTCTGCCTGAGTGACCAAAAGAAGTAAAAGCAGCAGATGTGTGACTTCAAATGTGACAGCCAACTCGGCCTCAGAACTGAAAAGCAAGAACCCTATCTAGGGTCTGACACGATGGCTCAATTGGTAAATCCTTCCCTTGCAATTGCTGCAATCCCATATGGATGCTGGTTCACATCCTGGCTGCTCCACTTCCCATCCACCTGCCTGCTTATGACCTGGGAAAGCAGCAGAGCATGGCTGAAGGCCTTGGGACACTGCACCTGTGTGAGAGACCCAGAGAGACTCCTGGCTGCTGGATTCATATCGGCGAGGATTTAGCCACTGAGTCATCACACTGGATCTGACATTGGAGTTTTTATCATGGGCATTCTAGGAAAGTTTTTTAAGCACCTTCTTTGTTATTTAAACCTTCTCCTTATCTTTGCCTTGTTTTGATTTCTGTTCCCAGCTTTTATTTCCAAATTCCTGCCATTACATTAGTATGTGACTGCTTTCAAGGCTTGGGTACGTCAGACACTTTGTCTGAAAGGTGATGCTCTATCATCCCATGGATGAATAAAAAAAAAAAAGTCACCCCAAAACAAATCAGAAGTTCCCATGCTAGAAAAATGTTATGAAAAATCTACCCCATGTACAAGTATTTGCAAACAACTATTAAAAGTATTTCCACTTTGTGTGAGCAATGAATGGAGCAGCTGCTCACTTCCATGCCGTGAAATGATTGAGGAGGCCACCTAAGAAGATGACAGGGTTGTTTCAGTTGAGGATGTTGCCAACTATGTTTAAGTCTGTTTTTCTGGATATCATTTTCTTTCTTTTTCTGAAGATTTATATTATTGTTAATGGAAAGTTAAATATACAGAGCGGAAGATCTTCCACTGATTGATTCCTCAAGTGACCCCATTGGCCAGAGCTGAGCTGAGCCGATCCAAAGCCAGGAGCCAGGGACCTCTTCGGGGTCTCCCACACGGGAGTAGGGTCCCAGGGCTTTGGGCTGTCCTCCACTGCTTTCCCAGGCCACAAGCAAGGAGCTGGATGGGAAGTGGAGTCGGTGGGATTAGAACTATCGGTCATGTGGGATCCCAGTGCATGCAAGGAGAGGACATTAGCTGCTAGGCTACTGCACCCAGCCCTGGAGATCATTTTCCACAAAGAAACACTGCAGCTGTTTCTCAAGGCATTCTGCCCATCTTGTTGATGAAAGCAATGATCAAATGAACATCTGAGGCTGTGGAGGACCTTGTGGGCAGCAGGTGGTAGCTATCCTGTGATGTCCCCGTGGAATTAAGCTCTGGGTTAGCTTGTGAGCTCTGAGGACAGAGTCCTCAAGATTCCCAAGCTTGCAGGGGTTTCCAAACTAACCACAGTTTCAGGAATTTTCTAGCAGAACTTAAAAAAGTCACTAAAAGCGATTGTAACCATTGATGATGATTTATTACAAGGAAGGAACCCACTCTGACATCTGACAAAGAGATACTTAGGGCAGAGTCTGAAAGATACAAAGCACTCACCCATTGTGGTGCCTGGGATGAATTGTCTCTAGTACTGATGTGTTAACAGTTCACAAGGGCAAAGTTTGCCAGCCTCGGGGTTTCCGGAGCCGGGTGGGTAGAAAGGATTTCTGATTTAAGTGTGCTGCTGGATTGTGCAAGTAGTTGTGCTCTGTCTTCAGGTCATCTGGTAGGGTTGGCCAAACCCACTACTTATAATTTCATGCTTGATTTTCCCCCACCCCATCCTAAATATAGACAGCCCTATCTGCTGAGACAGACTACCTCCCAGACCTAAGCCAAGGCCCAGGCAGTTTATGCCAAAGGCCAGGAGGGTGTCCCTGCAGGAACTGTAGAATCATTCATCTTGAGTGTGTCGGGCATTCTGAGTCACTGTGCCAACCTACTCACATCACCAGCCGTGGGTTCAGCCTTGTTCTTGTACCTGCTTTGCAGAACACTGAAGGGATTCCTGAGTACATCTAGCTACACAGGATGCCCCGGGTAGTTCTGCTTTAGCTCTTTTCAATGATTATTTTAACAATTGTGCCTCCATTTTACACTTTTTGTTGATACAGTGCGTTTTCTTTCATGTTACTGCTATTGGAGGTACCGAGACATCAGTCCTTTTTTGGCTGCTGCAAAAGGTCTTGTGCTTTGTCCAGTTGCTCGTGGGTGGGCTTTTGTCTTGGGCTGTCTGTCCATCCTCTGTTTCAGTGGAGATGCCTTAGGAAGCTAAGTGTGTATTGCATCACTGGGAAGAGCTCAAGTCCTCCCTTTTTTTCTGTCAATTTCTTTTCAGAAACATTGTGGGCATTAATTATTACAGCTGCCCCGGAGTAAGCATCCGGTGAGGGCCCTGTGTCCTTGTTTTTTGAAACTCTTAGTACAAAGAGAAAATTTGTTGTGTGCAACTAAAACTTTACTTTAGCACATGTTCAGGTTCTCTTTACCAAAGTCTGAAACCTTGTTTAATAGACACTTGTTCAACGTGGTCTCCTTCAACTTGCTAGTGATAAAACAGAAATTCCACCAAGATGGCAGAATAACATTGCCAACTATGAAATATAAATCCCCAGCTGTCTTTATGAGAGAGCCCCCATCAGTTGTTCAAGTGGTTCAAGTTCAGCTTTAGTTTCTTCAAGAGGCCTGTGATGGAAAAAGACTTTTCAATAAATTGTAATTGTTTATTCCCCTGTGAGTACTTACCTATTGTCTATTGTCATACAAAGTGATTCCTGTAACTTTATTCATAGCTTGCTTTACTAATATGACTTTTTTTTTCCTGTATCACTTTCCTTTGTTAGAAGGCATCCCTAAGCTTTTGGGATTGATATACTGGCAGTAGTGCTAGAAAAAACAGTGCCTACAGAAGACCTTGCTTTGTGGACCAATGCATGGGTTTTTGTTTGTTTGTTTGTTTTTTAAGAATGAACCTTAGTGGCTTGCATTCTTTAGTCTGCTTGTTCGTTACTTATTTGTGTGTTTTTTTGAATGTCTCCCACCCGTGCAGGGGAGCTGCTCCTACAAGGCCCCATGTTTATCAAAGAACCCAGCAACACCATCTTTCCTGTTGGTTCAGAAGATAAAAAAGTAACCTTAACTTGTGAAGCGAGAGGCAACCCTTCACCTCATTACAGGTACAGTGAAAAGTTGCAAAATTCCAACTGAAACGATTTAGTTGATGAACTTTTTGCTCTGGTGCATTTATAACACCTTAATCTGTCATGATATGATATCTTCAATTGATCTGGTGTAAGAACATTTGGATCCATACGGCATATGTTGATTGGTTAACTAGTGTATAGAAGAATTCTAGATTTAAGGAATGGCAAAAGTCTGTGACGAAGCAATGTCTTCTCATTGATTTATAGTGCAACAGAATCTATAATTGTAGTTTTGCATGTAGTCGTGTAGAATGCATCCGTTTTGGAAAGGAAATGAAGTGTATGTTAAAGGTAATTTGAAGTCCTAGGTTGAGTAGTATGCTTCCATGCTCCTCCATCTGCCTCTGCCATTTCACTGGTGTGTGTCTGAAGGGCCATTAACTGCGATGGAATAGAATAGGTTCCTACAGGAGTCGTTTTCAGTCACTCTTGAACAAAGCCTGTTTCGCATACGAGGTGGTTTTTTCTTTAATCATGCTAAATTCTATCTGTTATTATTATGAAAATGATACCTTTTCAAAGCAAATCTGCAAAGATGACAAAATGCGTAAGGAAAAAAAAAAGAAATCTTAGCCCCCTATCCTCTTAAGATAAAACTAGGAAAGTTTTGGAGATCATGTTGATTGTTTGGATGGGATGGGTATTTACTTGGTTCAATAGCACAAGATGAACAGTTTCACTCTTCAGGGTGCTCAGGGGGACCCACTTTAATGAAGAGATGAAATATTTATAAATAACATATGCTGCTTTCATGCAAGTGGCTTCGAGGAAAGGCTCAAGGCAGCTCCCAAGCAGTGTGTTCTTCCAAGTGCTGGGAGCGTCCACTTCAAAAGCTGTTTACACTCTGCCTTTGTTGGCAAAACCTTCTTTATAACCTGCAGAGCAAGCAAACTCAACTCCATATTAAGGAAACTAAATGTTTGGAGTACTGGTTCTGATCTTACCGACTGTTAAGCTCTTTTAAACCGCGCAAACAGTAGAAGCCAGTTGTGCCTGTTCAGTGGAGTTAGAATTTGGGTACAAGGTAGATTTATTCATTCTCTACATCTAGAAGGAACTAAGGTCATTTTCTTTGAACTGTTTTTGACAGTAGACTTATTGATTGCCTGCTGTGTTCTTTCAACGAAAAAAGCATTGTGGTTTCAGGTTACGGATCAAAACTGACAGGTGTTTGAGAGAGGAGTGTTTGAGCCTCTTGGGATATTCCCATTTCTTTACCAGAGTGCCTTGGTTGAGGGTTCTAGCTCAGCTTTCCATCCCAGCTTCCAGTTAAGTCCATCCTATACACAAGTGGTAACTTAGGTAGTTAGGTCCCTGACCCCTATGTGAGAAATTTGGATTCAGGTCCTGGGCCCTGAATTCCATATGGCTTAACACTGCCTGTTGTGGGCATTGAATGAAGGGAATCTACAGATGAGAGAATTTCTTCTCTCTCTCTTTCTCTCACTATCTATACCACCTTTTGTCTGTTTTTCAAATAAATAAAAAGAAAGAACAGAAAAAAGTGCAAGAGAGAACACCTTTTACTCTGCCTTTACTTCTTAACTAAATAAGAAAAGGATGATAGAATTGAAATCATTAGAAACTTTAATTGATGAGCTAATTTAGTTAGAAATACATGCAACATCTGGAAATATTTCTTCTTTTGGAGAAATATGAACAGTTCATTTAACAAGACAGTGTCATAGAAATGTTGTTTCCGGTGTTTTGATGGCGATCGGTTATCTTTTAAAAGCATCTGTTTGCTTCTCTGTGAGATAGAGGATTTCTTTTCTTTTTTCAGTGGACATGGCTGCAAATATGATAAAGAATCGTGCGAATGACTCATGGGTGGGCAGTTTTGATGTCAGTAAAGTTAGATTTTCTGGCATTTATGAATAATTTGCTGAAAAAGGGATTCGGCTGAAATATTGTCAGGATAAAGGATTTAATCATGTAGGAATATGCTTTTAAAAGAATAGATTTATTATGTTGGGATAGCCTTATCAAATAGCCAGATTCCTGGGACTCAGAAATCCACAAATATCCTTTTTTGATTTTATTTGTGGGGGAGTTTGTCGATGTTTCTGTACACAAGGTAATTATTATCATGATGAACCTGTATTTAAATGTTGTGCCAGCATATATCAAATGTTGGTGTGGTGTTTTTGCTATCAGTATGGTGACTTATATTGTGGCATGATCCACCTGGCATTGACACGTCACAGTTGATATTAAATCTGCAACAGGGAACTGTGACTTCCTTGACTTATTACTCTTAAGTGAAAACATTCAATATGTTGGGTGTTGTTTTAAAATATTTGATTTGCGCCCACACATAGTAGAGACTTTGATGATCGCTTTAAAGATGTACTCAAGTTAGGATTACTAACTAACAGAAAATGTCACTCCTGCCAAATGTTTGTAAAATTGAAATCCTGAGAAATACAAAGACAGGTCTTTGCACTCTAAAAATATTACACTTTCCTGCAACATTAAACTTTTTACTTAGTGTAGCTGTGTGACAACTGGATTGTTGGAATGAAGTAAATGCAGTTTGGACTAATGGGGTTGCCCATACAACGGGATGTGTTTAGCTGGAGCCTTCACTGTTGGACTGATTCTTTTCCCCTCGCCTTGCACTGTGTTGGTCAACTAGACACTGTTGCTCTGTATCTTTACTCCCAGAAGAAAGTAAGCTTGCTGCTTATCGCTTCCTCTTTCCTTCTTCTCCTTCATTTTTTCTTCCTCCTCCTTCTTCTCTTTCTCCGTCTTCACTAAACAGGTAAATTGCATAAATATGTAATAACGAAGATGACACGGTGGGGACAGTGTTTGGACTACTGGTTAAGACACCAGTTTTAATGTCTGCATCGGGCAGCAGCATAGCTGGATTCAATACCTGTGTCTGGCCACTCAGATGCCAGCAGGCAGTGGTGATGGCTCCAGCCGTGGTCTTCTTGCCAGAGACAAGCATCGCATTCCCGTCTCTTGACCTCCACGTGGTCCTTGTCAGTGTAGGGGCAGAGAACCAGCAGTGGAACCACCCCTCTCTCTAACTCTGAAATTTCCTTTTTTTTTTTTTAATAAACAGATTTTGGACAGTTAGATAAGTAGATGGAAATATACTTAGCCAATGAGGAAGCTTAGGAAGTTGTGTGAAACCACTTGTTTCTAACGGTTCAGAACACAGAATAGGAAAGAATGTTCTTTGAAAGCTCAGAGTCTGACTTGTTCACCCAGGCAAACCTGTCTGATGAGAGATTTTATCTTTGTTAATTTTCCCCGTTTGGGTAAAAAGAACTCTTAGTTGGCCCTGTTAGAAATGCAAAATTTCAGAAATTCTCAAGAGAAGTTACTTGTCTCAGTGTTTCATTGAGAATTCTGCTCTTTCTCTTGCATTTCACTGTCTGAGCCCCCAAGCCTTATGTTGAAAGGTTAATGAGTGCTCAGTCTCTTTGTAATTGCTGTTGATGCTGAAAGGGGTTGCCCTGAGGAGGGGTTAGTACTTCCTTCAGTAGGAGGTTTCCCTACTTTCCGTGGATTCTCAGACTCCCTGCCTTTGTTCAAAGAAATCTTGTTGGAGAAAGGCTCAGTTGGCCATTGTTGCCAAGGCCAGCCTACTTTTAAGGGGGATAAGGTCTTGGAGCTAAACTAAAGACTTCATGCGTATTACTAAAGACCAGGCAAGGAGCCAAACTGCAAGGGTGGGCCTGCCAAATGTGCACAAGTTCTAGAAAATGACTGATCAGTCTCAGAGTTCCTGCCATGAATCTGTCGAATGGTCACACCTGCTTCTCAGATTCCTAGAACTCAGATGTTTTGTTTTCCAAATGTCTGATTTTAGTTTACAGTCTGCTTTGCTTGTGTAGGTAAAGTAGGCTAAAGCAAATGAATCTGAAAGCTGACCACTGCACACATAGGTTTCTGTCTTCCAGCCAGAGCCTGGCTGCCAAGTTGGAACCTTATGGTTCAAGTAGGTAGCCACATGAGGCTCCTGCCATTTAAATCAATTGAATTAGAAACGAAGTTTCTCAATTGTTGCAGCTTCCTTTCAAGTGCTCAGTGACCACATGTCACGATAGTGTTGGATGGCACAGGTGAAATACCAGTACTTCTAGAAAATTCTCTTGGACAACACTGCAACACAGACCTTATCAACAATTCTTATCCATATAGACCTTATCAACAATTCTTATCTATATAAAAAAGTCTTCCATTGTTTTCTCTCCACAAAGAAATGACCAGATTATCGCATTCTCTTCCAACTCTGTTGAACAAGTGAATTAGTTGGATAAGGCCCCCTGTGTGTGTTCTGTTTACCGATCTCTTTGGGAAGAAGGGGCAACAGAAAGATGCACACAGACACACAAGGAGTTACTACTTGCTAATTTACTCACCAGATGCCTGCATGGACCAGAGATTGGCCAGCACAAAACTAAGAGCTGAAACTCAAGCCAGGCTTTCCTCCTGAGCCATCACAGCTTGGCAGGAAGATGGAAATAGGATCTTGGTTTGGGAATTGAACTTGGGTCCTTGGTTGTGAGGTGTAGGTGTCTTAGCTACTAGGCTAACTGCCTGAAGAACCTGGCATCCACATTTTCTGGGCAAACTATCGTTGCAAACTGGGAGTTCTTCCATGGTTTCCTTTTTCTAACAGGCAGTGGCATATGCTGAACCTGTTTAATTTGCTGAGAGTCAACTAAACGCATTTAGTATAAGAAAGGAAAGTAAAATGATTAATTTCTGCTCACCATTAATGGATGGAAGCAAGGGAACTCTCAGTTTATTTTTGGTCTTTAAATGCCATTAGTGAGGATGACACAGAATGCGATAATAGTACTATACGTGGCACTGTATTTGACTAAATGTTTACTATGTGTCAACTACAAATTAGTGCTGCTTATACTCCCTTTATAGAAAATAGGTGTACTATTTGTATACAACAAAGAATATGGCATGCCTGGTATAAAATATACTATACCACATAGCAT